CTCCTCGCAGGGAGCTCGGGTTCTCAGGAGGGAGCTCGCTCTTATCAGGGAGCTCGGGCTCCTAGTAGGGAGCTTGGACTTGGGAGGCTCAGGTTTTTTAGGGAGTTCGGGTCCTTTAGCTCGGGTTCTTTAGGGAGCTCAATTTTGAGGGAGCTCGGGTCCTTTAGCTCGGGTTCTTTAGGGAGCTCGGGCTCCTGGTACCGGGCTAGGACTTAGGGAGCTCGGGTTTTAGGGAGCTCGGGCTCCTGGTACCGGGCTAGGACTCAGGGAGCTCGGGTTTTAGGGAGCTGGGACCTTTAACAGGGAGTTCGCTTTTAATAAGGAGCTCGGACTAAACACAACGATCTGGAGTTGGGGTTTGGCAGTGAGTTTTGACTTGCTTCCGATGTTCGCTTTGGGTGCTCTACTGTCCCGAGCTGCTTGCCTTTACCACGCGTCGGGCGAGCACGAGGTCGGGCCAAATCTCCCTTCATCAATCCATTTGTAAATCACCACATTCCATTGTTTAGATCCATTTTGAAGTGAAGCAGAATTGGGTAAAATGTGGATTGATTTGCAAATGGGGGGAAGGGGCTCAATGGGGTTGCAAGTTGGGCCAAGTTAAGTCAGTCGACCCTAATCTAACCTGAGTTGTGGAACCCTCAATTCAAACCCTAACCTAACCTGAAAAGTTTTCAGAGTGGGCTGGGTTTAGGTTAGTTTGACTTCTCTACTTCCTTTGGACAAATGTTTCTATTTTCTAGACTCAAGGGTTGGGATAAATTTAATTTTAGCATCATTATTTGTAATATGACATTGTTATCATGATTATAACACATATGAAATTAATTCAGGTTTGGGTTAGATTGGATTGGCCAAGGTCTCAATTCTATCTCAACCTGAAGTTAAATCAAGTTCATACTCTTCAACCCTAACCCTAAACTTAACTTCATCCCAATCCAATGAGCTAAATTGGCCCAAATTGCAACTTTACGGCGTTGGGGATAGAAGAATTAAATCAATTCCTAACATTCAAGGCAGGACTCTCGATGGGAACCCAAGTCCAAAATACCAACGTTTTGTGGACAATTAGAGTCTGTTTGGTTTATAGTCAAATTTGGATTTTCTTGGAATGGAAATCAGAATGACCCATCCCCCCCCCCCC